CCCCGCAAAGCGAGGGTTTCGATTACACTTTGCTGTTGCAACCAAACCAGTTCACTCCTTCCCGGGAGCCTTACATAGCCAAGCTATGTTGCAACGCATTTAATACAAAAAAAAAAAAGTGAAAATTAAAAAAAAATAATCACACGTAGATGTCAGAAAAGAAGAATGCAGCAAAAGTCTTACTTCAGCAAGAATGGAAATTTCTCGACTTCCAAGTGGGAGGGAGGGAAGGCAAAGTGGAATCGGGGAGGACAGAGCCAAGAGATAAGTGGGAACAGCTTCCTGGGTGATTCAACTTCGCCCTTGGTTATTTGGGGTGCCTCGGCTGCTTCCCTTGAACCTTTTAAGCCTATGCAAGGCTGAAGCCCCCCAGTTTTCTACAGAGGAATGATTGACTCTCTCATTTGCTCCTCTGTAACCTTCTGGTTTGGCACAGCAACCAAACAGGGAGAGGGACAGACTTTGACGGATAGTCAGGACTGCAGAAAGAAGCAATTGCACCCAGCCTGCCTTCCATGGAGGACCTGAATACTGCACTAGCCAGAAAGGGGGCTGAGAAAATATCTACAGACCCCTCTCATCCTGGGTGTAAACTGTTTCAACTCCTCCCCTCAAGATAATGCTATAGGGCATTGCATGCCAAAATAACCAGATACCTAGTTTTTCCCCTGTGCTATCATTCTGTTGAAGAACTAATTCCCATCGGACTGTCTCAATTCTCATCTTCTCATTTTTCCCTACGATCTTCTCCTATCAGTTTCTTATGATTGTTGTTTGTAACTTATAATTAATGATTGTGACTATGAATATGACCTATTACTTGCTGTTTGTATGTACATTGTGAGCGTCTGCACCAGAGACAAATTCCTGGTGTGTCTGATCACTCTTGGCCAATAAAGAATATTTTCTTCTGTCTATGGAGATTCTTGAAGAGACAACTGGACTTTCATGTTTCTCTTTGAAGACGTTTCGCTCCTCATCCAAGAAGCTTCTTCAGCTCGGACTGGATGGTGGGGTATGGAAGGATTTATATTCCTTGCAGACAGCTGGTCATTTGCATCCTTTTTAGAGAGACATTGAGGCCACTTGGAGGTTTGTCTGTGTCCTCAGATAAATCTATATCCTCGGATAAATGGGTCCTTCCACGCCCATTTGCACTCACCTGACCTTGAGGACAAAGATAAACCTCCAATTGACCTCTATGGCTTTCAAAATAAAAAAAATAAAATTCAAATCAAAGCCTATAAATAAAATTTATAGAAAATTCACATCAAAACAATTAACAATTAAAATTTACAAAAGCCTGAAAAAGAATGAAGATCAGGAGAGAGGGAGGAGGAGAGGGAGAGAGAGAGAAAGCAGGAGAGGAGGGAAAGAGGGAGAAAGGGAGAAAGGGAGGAGACCGTGAGAGAGAGAAGGGACAAGGAGAGAAAGAGAGGAGAGAGAGAGGAAGCAGGAGTGGAGGGAAAGAGAGAGGGGGAATAGGGAGAGGAGAGAGAGAGAGAGAGAAACAAGGAGAGAAAGAGAGGAGGAGAGAGGGAGACAGAGAAAGGGGGAGAGAGATAGGAAGAGGAGAGAGAAAGGGGGGAGAGAGAGAACGGGAGAGAGAGAAAGAGGGAGAGAGGGAGAGGAGGGAGAGGGAGAGAGAGAGAGAAAGAGAAAGTGCACGTACGAGAGAGAGATGGAGGTTTGGGGGCCATCCTGGAGTAGACTCTGATCTGCACGGCTGAGAGCTTAACTTCTGACTGACGTGGGCACTTCCAAAAGGCCAAGGGACGGGCAGATCCCATAGTGGGCCAGGTGAAACCGCAGGATCCAAGCCTATAAAAGTCAGCACCATCGCAACCTGTTCACCCAACACCCTTGGCTTGCTTGCTTTTTTAACCGATGGTTGGAATTTGTGCAATTCATTGAACTCTGTGAGTACCGGTAGTCCTCCACTTGCTACAGTTCATTTAGTGACCAACAGCACTGAAAAAAAGGGGCGTATGACCAATTTCACACTTGCAGCCTCGCCAGGGTCACCTGATCAAAATCCAGACCCTTGCCAACTGACTCCTATTTATGACGGTCGCAGAGTCCCGGGGCTCAGCGATTCCCCTTTTGTGACCTCCTGACCAGCCAAGTCAATGGGGAAGCCAGATTCACTTAACGACCATGTGACTCATTTAACAACTGCAGGGATTCCCTTAACAACCGGGGAAAGAAAGGTAATAAAACGGGCCATCTCATTTAGCAACAGAAGTTTGAAGTCCAATCGTGGTCGTAGGTCAAACAAGACCCGTATTAAATCCCAACACTGATACTTTCTCTCGGCTTAAGTCTGTAAAACCCGTGCAGCCCCTTGCTCTTGACCCAACCTGATTAACTGGATTGTGTGAATCCAGCCTTTCACAGGTTCACGCTTCCAGCGCTGCCTCTCCCAGCTCCTTCTCCAACCTTCACCCTCAGTGCCAGTAAACCCAGACAACCTGTATGCTGCACGAGTCAAAAAGAGGGCTGTGAAAATATCTCCAGACCCCTCACATCCTGGACAGAAACTGTTTCAACTCCTTCCCTCAAAACGACGCTGTAGAGCCCTGCACACCACAACAACTAGACACAAGGGCAGTTTTCCCCCGAACACCATCACTCTGCGAAACAAATAATTCCCTCAGCACTGCTCAAATATTTACTAAGTCTGCATTACTATTCTTCTTCTCATCCTTCCTATTACCTAGCTCTTTTTCTATTTATGACTATAATCTTGTTGCTTGTATCTTTATGATTTATATTATTTTATTTAGTTTCCTAGTATGGTTTGATTGCTTATTTAGTAACCTATGACTATCATTAAGTGTTGTACCTTATGACTCTTGATGAATCTATTTCTTTTTTCTTTTTTACTGCAAGAGTCAAAAAGAGGGCTGTGAAAATATCTACAGACCCCCTCACAACGCCACAACGTTCCCCCCGAACGCCATCCCTCTGCTAAACAAATAATTCCCTCAACACTGTTCAACTATTTACAAAGTGTACACTACTATTACTATTAATCTTCTCATCACTCCTTATCACCCATCCCCTCCCACTTGTGACTGTATGACTGTAACTTTGTTGCTTGTATCCTTATGATTTTTACTGTTTCCTAGTATGATTTGATTGCTTATCGTACCCTTTGACTTTATGAAGTGTTGCACTTTATGATTCTTTATTCTTGACGAATGGATCTTTTCTTTTTATGTACACTGAGAGCATTTGCACCAAGACAGATTCTCGTACAGAGAAGAGCTACAAAGATGATTAAGGGACTGGAAACTAAAATATATGATGAACTCGCAGGAACTGGCCATGGCTAGTCTAGGGAAGAGAAGGACCAGGGGAGACAGGAGAGCAGTCTTCCAATATTTGAGGGGCTGCCACAGAGAGGAGGAGGGGATTAAGCTATTCTCCAAGGCACCCAAAGGCCAGAGAAGGAATAATGGATGGAAACTGAACAAGGAGAGATTCAACCTGGAAATAAGTAGAAATTTTCTGACAATGAGAATAATCAACCCATGGAACAGAAGTTGCCTTTGGGAGTTGTGGGAGCTTCATCACTGGGAGCTTTCAAGAAGAGTCTGACTGCTCTCTGTCAGAAATGGTGTAGGGTCTCCTGCTTCAGCCGGGGGTTGGACTAGATGACCTACAAGGTCCCTTCCAACTATGATTATCTTTTATCTGTTGTGTGTCCAAACACACTTGGCTAATAAAGAATTCTATTCTATTCTTACATCGGCTGTGCACAATGGGCCCTGTGGTTTAACTCTCTAAATTTCCCCCGTAACACAAACCTGACCCCATAAAATTCAACCATAATGTGGTTGAATTTCTGCCGAAGAAACCAACTGTTTGCAAACTCGTTTCCATTCTCAAACCTCCACGGGCTTCCTATAATCTCAAATTTGGGATAAAACGTTACCAGGAAAAGAAAAACCAACAAATTACAGAAAAAAAATACAAACACTGGAACAATGTCAGATCCAGGAAGTTCTCACCGAAAAAAACCCCCACACACCCCATCTTTGGTCTAATCCTCCAATGCCACTTTCTCCTCCACAACGACAGGTGGTCCTTGACTTACAACCACAACTGAGCCCAAATTTGTCTGTCGTTAAGCGAGACCTTTGCTAAGGGAGTATTATCCCCATTTTACTGCGTTTCCACGGTTGTTCAGTGAATCACTGCAGTCGATAAGTTAGTCACCCCGTTGTTAAGTAAATCAGGCTTTGCTTGTCTGAAGGTTGCAAAAGGGGATCAGGTGACCCCGGGACACAGCAACCATCATAAGTATGAGTCAGCTGCCAAGCATCTGTATTTTGATCCACGCAATCGTGGGATGCTGAAATAGTTGTAAGTTAACTCTGAAAAACTGTCCTAAATCCCCTTTTTCACGGCCCTTGTAACGGTCGCTAAATGAGCTGTTGTAAGTCAAGGACTACCTGTACTTTAGTCTCCAGGATCAGGAGATATAGTACTAGTCACTACTTCCAAAGGCCCCGATAGGAAAGTTGTACTAAAATGTGTCCTAAGCCACATTTTTTCAGCGTCCTTTGGAACTTCGAACAGCCACTAAATGAACCGTTATAAGTCGAGGATTGCCTGCACTCAAAGTCAGGGGGGAAAGCACTCTGTGCATGCTCGAGGGGGAAGGGGGACCTGCACTAAAGCTATCAAGGAAAGATAAGAGAATTAGATGTAAAAAAAAATGGGCTCAGGACCGGGTCGGGCTAGACGACCTCCCAAGGTCCCTTTACAACTCGGTTATTCTGTTTAATCCGGAAACTCTGTCAATGCTAAGAGACGCGACAAAACGCCTTGCCTGCAACTCTCTCCGGAGCGGCCGGGGGCTTCCAGCTTCCGAGCCTCTCCGGCTGCAAAGCCGCCCAGCCCACCGGCGGCTTCCCCTCCGCGTTGCGGGCAGCGAAGGGCTCCAACGGCGGGAGAAGCCGTCGAGGGGAGCCCAGCCCAGCCCGCCTTACCTTGGCCCGCCTGGCTTGCGGTTCCTCCGGCTGCCCCGAGCGCTTTTCTTCCCCAAGAGGGCACTTTTCTTCCAAGCACGGCGGAGCGCCGGGAGCCTTCCCGCCTGCCCGAGGCTGCCTCGTCCTTCTTCCTCCTCCTCCCGCCTCCGCTTCCTTCCTCTCCGCCGCCGCCGCCGCCGCCGCCGCCTCCCATGCAGGGTGGACGCTCAGCTCGCTCCATCCACCGCGCGGCTTTAACCCTTCGGGCTGGGCTGGCTCAGCTGCGCGCTGGGAAAGTTTTGCGCGAAGGGAAGGAAGTAAGGAAGGCGCGCAACTTTCACACCCAAAGCGCACAAGCCCTGGTTTGGTTGCGGCGTCGTGGTTTGCTAAGACAGGTTTATTGGCCGGTTTCACATCTCATACACAGACAGACACAGAGGCACAGAGAGAGAGAGAGAGAGAGAGAGATGAAGACACACACAGAGAAACACAGGCAGACAGACTCACACACGCAGAGACACACTGACACACACACAGACACACAGACACATGCAGAGACACACAGACACACACAGACAGACACACACACGCAGAGACATGCAGACAGACACGCATGCAGAGATACAGAGACACAGATACACACACGCAGAGACACACACACACAGACACATGAAGACAGAGACACACAGACAGACACACACATGCTGAGACACAGAGACACACACACTCACACCTTGGTTTACAAAGGCAGCACTGGAGGTTCATCATACAACACTTTGTTTAGTCACTGTGGAAAAGTCACCAGGGCCCTGGAAAGAGGAACTTGGGACCGTTCTTCACACTTACGACCGTTTGTAGCCTCTCCCTGGGTCATATGATCAAAATTTGGCTCCTGGACAACTGACTTGTATTTCTGATGGCTGCAGTGCCCTCCGGGTCCCATCATCCCCTTTCGCAACCTTCTGACCAGCAAAACCAATGTGGAATTCGCCCGATTCACTTAACGACCGTGTGACTAACTGATCAGCTGCAGCAATTCATTTAACAGCGGTGGCCAGAAAGGTCGTAAAACGGGGCAAACCCCACTTCACAAATGGCTCACTTAGCAACCTCAATTTGGGTCTCAGTTGTGGTCATAAGTCGAGGACTACCTGTAGACTCCTTTCTGATTCAATCTTACTTTATTGCGTGGGAATGAGATCATCCTAAGAAGCTTTCACAGAATTTGGGCATCCTGTAATGTGTGGTGTAGCAGAGCATAACAGAATAACTGAGTTGGAAGGGACCTAGTAGGTCATCTAGTCCAACCCCCCCCCCCCCCGTTTAAAACGTGTGGACTTTTCAACTCCCAGAATTCCTGAACTAACATGACTGGAGGAGGAATTCTGGGAGTTGAAGTCTTAAAGTTGTCAAGGTTGAAGACCCCTGATCTATCACCTATCTATCATCTCTCTCTCTCTTCCTGTACCTACCTACTATTTACCAATCTATCTATCATCTATCGCCTATCATTTCTCTCTCTTTCTGTACCTACCTACCTATTTACCTATCTATCATCTATCATCTATCCATCATCTATAACAAAGGTCTTCAAACTTGACAGCTTTAAGACTTGTGGACTTCAACTCCCAGAATTCCTCCTCCTCCAGTCATATTAACTCAGGAATTCTGGGAGTTGAAGTCCACAAGTCTTAAACTTGCCAAGTTTGAAGACCCATAACAATATACAGAAAACAAGCCTCTTCAAGGGTCTTCAAACTTGGCAAGTTTAAGACTTGTGGACTTCAATTCCCAGAATTCCTGAGCTCACATGACTGGAGGAGGAGGAATTCTGGGAGTTGAAGTCCACAAGTCTTAAAGCTGTCAAGTTTGAAGATCCCTGATTGTTAGCAGATCTTCTGAACTCAGGACTCAGAGCCATATTTTTGGGCCAGCTGCTGGACTTCCATTCCCAGAATCCTTCAGTCACATTGAGGAATGTTAGAATTCCACCTCCACAGCTTAGCTAGCTGGGGAAGTCTGGGAGTTGAAGTTCACCCCATGAAGTCTGCTCAGGTAAACACTGGCTTTAAGAGTTGCGCAAAACACACACAAACACACCCAACCATTCCCAGGTACTTGAAGGTTTCTCAATCCACACTTTCCCCTCAAGATTGGATGAGGACATTTTTTTTCTAGCTCGAAAGGAATCAACAGCCCTGCTCAGCTGTGGAAGGAGTCCCCAAACTTGGCAACTTTAAGACTTGTGGATTTCAACTCCCAGAATTCCTCAGACAGCTATGGTCTAGGGTTTCCAGCTTGAGCAGGGGGTCAGACTAGAAGACCTCCAAGGTCCCTTCCATTTCCTTTTCTTTTTTTTATAAAAAAGTTTTATTTTTATTTTTAACAACAAACATAGACATATACAAACATAAAACAATATAAAACCATCTTTCAATTGTACAGTGTGTAGGTTGATACATAATTCTTGTGCACAATATGTATAGTTTTTTCCTCGAATTTAAATTTACATTCATATTACATTCATCAACTTTCCATGTCATATTATATTATTATTACACCATCATTTGATCCTAGTTTCGAATCCATATTATCCTTTAGAAGCAAATCTCAGTTCTTACCAATTTCAATTCATATTAGAAGTCATTCTACAGTATAATAATTATAACATATCATGACTGTTAAATTATACTTCACTTTTCTACTTTTCTATCTAACCATTGGTAAAATAAATCCCATATCTTAAAATATTCTTTTTCTTCTTGCTCTCTAATTGCTAATGTTAATCTACTCATTTCTGCACATTCCATTATTTTCTTAATCACCTCTTCCTCAATCAGAATTTTCTCATTTTTCCAATTTTGAGCAAATACAATTCAAGATCCCTTCCATTTCTGTTCTGATTGAAATGGTCTAGGGCAGAGGTCTCCAAACTTGGCAACTTTAAGATTCGTGGACTTCAGCATAGCTGGCTGGGCAATTCTGGGAGTTGAAGTCCACAAGTCTTAAAAGTTGCCAAGTTTGCAGACTCCTGTCCTTGAGTGAGGTTTGCCTGCAAGAGGTTAAACCAGAGCATAGGCCTGGGAGTGATAAGACAGGTGAGGCCAGGGACACGCCCAGGTAAAGGCTATAAGCACCATCCTGTGCACACAGACGCACGCCAGATTTCGTGCCAACTCACACACAGGTGTAGGGTGGACATGGGCTCAGGAGCTACATGCAAACAATTTCCTTCTGCCATTTCCCAAATGCAAAGATCCTGGGTTTGTCTTCTCAAAACAGATGAGTAAGCCACTGTTAGCTGAAGCCAGATTTATTTAATCATGGGTGCCCGTTATATTTTTCTTAACGTTTTTATTTTCGTTGTTACAGATACTCCCTAATGTACAACCGTATGTTAATGCCTAAAGTTATAATGGCACTGAAAAGAAGGACCGGGGAGACATGATAGCAGTCTTCCAATATCTCAGGGTTTGCCACAAAGAAGAGGGAGTCAAGCTATTCTCCAAAGCCCCTGAGGGCAGGACAAGAAGCAACAAATGGAAGGAGAGAAGCAACTCCAGGAGAGAAGCAACTGAGAACTAAGAAGAAATTTCCTGACATTGGGACAATTCATCAGTGGAACAACTTGCCACCAGAAGTTTGTGAGTATCCAATGCTGGAAGTTTTTAAGAAGAGATTGGACAGCCATTTGCCTGAGATGGTATAGGGGCTTCCTCCTGTTTGAGCAGGGGGTTGGACTAGAAAACCTTCAAGGTCCCTTCCAATTCTGCTATTCTACTCTATTCCTATTCCTATTATATTCTATATTCATTCTATTATCCTATCCTATCCTATTCTGAATCATATTCTATTCAGATTTCTCTTCTGTTCTTCTATTAGTATTTCTTTTTTCTATTCTATTCTATTCTATTCTATTCTATATATTTGTCTTTCTTTATTCTATTCTATTCTATTCTATTCTATTCTATATATTTGTCTTTCTTCTATTCTATTCTATTCTATTCTATTCTATTCTTCTATTCTATTCTATACTATACTATACTATACTATACTATACTATACTATACTATACTATACTATACTATACTATACTATACTATA